ATGTCTGACAATTAATTTCCAATCAAAATATTATGTTTTGAGCTCCAGGAAGTGCTTTTTTGAGCAATGGATTCCACCATGATGTTGGAAGTAATAATTATGATACCAATGTCTGTAAGAATCTCAAGGAACCATATGCTGTCTCACTAGTATGGAAGACTAAAGGTCATATGCATCAGATCAGTTCAGATACCATTCTCTGTTAATATTGTATCATGTACAATACTATATTTTACCAAAAGTCACTTAAAAAAAAAAGAAAAACTCTCAATGTGGCGAAGAGATAGCATAAAAAGTGCTGTAAGTGTTCACAGAGCAAACTAAAATATATTTTCTTTAATGTGGATGTCTTAAACCATAATGAAATAGTCTAAAACCTAGTATTGAGTTTTAGCCTGGCGGCTGAGGGGAAAAATATTATAAGGGCTTTTCACAAGGAATTATTGTTCTGCAGTGTCCCTGAATGGTTAAGCCTATGAAGATTTCAATTAACTTGTTGAAAATTATTTCCTTGACTTTTCCTACCAAGTTCTTGTGGTGCTTATGAGTTAAGCCTTTAGTCTACATATTCATTTCTGGGGGTTTCTATTGAACAAATCCCAGTAGATTTCAATGCACTGACCCAGAGAGTGAGCTAATTCTATGTGACAACATGATCCCTGATCACTTTTGCCAGCATAAACAAATGGGTTCTTTTAAAACCGAGACAAATGACTTAAAGGGAGGGGTTGGGGTGGTCATGTGAAGTAGAAATTTCAACCAGGCTTAAGGCTCCACCAATGACTAAAGATAAGATAAACAGTAAAAGGTACATTAAATGCACTTTGTGTTGTATTTATATAAAAGATACTTCTATTTGCCCTCACCACTGGTTATACCGAGACATATAGAAACTGAAGCCTAGTATCATCTGAAATAGGTAGATAGGTAGGTAGACAGAGGACCACAATGCTTACTACTTCTGTTGTTTGTTTGTTTGTTTGCTTGCGTGTGTGCGTGTGTGTGTGTGTGTGTGTGTGTGTGTGTGTGTGTGTGTGTGTGTGTATGTATGTATGTATGTATGTATGTATGTATGTATTAGAGCTGGGGATGTTCATATTTGTAAATGGGTATGACTATCCCTGTCCCAGCTGGACCTAATGAGGGTCTAGCCCCTTGGACCAGCCTGTCCACTCATGAGTCCCAGAGCTATGAGGGTCCTGCTCTTTCCACCAGTGATGGAAGGAGCTCTGCTGTCTCCCTTCTCAGATTCAACCTCCCACCCTGCCAAGCAGGGTGACAGCGGAGCTCTTGGTGCTATTGGCAGGAAGAGCAGGACCTTCTCAGTACCAAGATGCATGAGTGGATGGGCTGGTCTCAGGGACCAGACCCTCATTAGGTCCAGCTGGGACAGGGATATTTGTATTTGTTTACAAATATGAATATCCCCATCTCTAGTAGGCATGCATTTATTTATTACATTTCTATACCACCCATCGGGCTACCAAGGCCACTCTGGGTGGTTGACAACATAATAAAACAGCACACATTCCAAAGGTGGGGAGCAACCACAAAGAAGGCCCATTTTCTGGTCTTTCTGGGCCTCTTTTTGGGTCAATGTTCTCAGCCACCCTGCCTGGGAAGATCAAGTTGTTCAGGCAGATCTCACTGGAATAAAGTGTTCTGCCAGATACAGAGGTGCCAAACCATTTAGGGCTTTGTATGTCAACATCATCACCATGAGGCTGGCACAGAAACAAACAGGCAGCGAATGCAACACAGTCAGAATAGGGGAAATATGATGGCATTTATTTACTCCGCCCAGTAATCCAACCACCATATTCTGGACCTGCTGAAATTTCCATAGCAGCCTCGTGGGCAGCCCCATGTAGAGAGCATTACAGTAGTCTAATCTTGAGATTACCATTGCATGGACCAGCATGGTGAAGGACCTGGTGTCAAGGTGAGGATGCAGCTGGACAATCTGTCTCAGGTGGACAAAGCAGAATGTAGCACAGACACTGCATGGGACTCCATTGATAGTGCTGGGTACAAAAGTACACCCAGATTTCAAACCTCGTCCTTAGAGGGAGGCCCCTAAACCACAGACATTAGGGGCACCAACCTGCAGGACTTCCATCTTGTCCTTGTTCAGCCTCAGTCTATTGTCCCTCATCCGTCCCAGCACAGTGTCCAGGCAGCGTTCAAGGGAATTATATTGCAATGGCTATGCTAGTCACGGAAGAAAATGATACTGTAACTGTGGCTATGATGAGTTAACATTTCTTTTGCAGAATGCACTTGAATTCCTTAGATAATGTATCTAGTCTCTAGGAGGATATGGCTCTACTCACGATATACACTCCTATATAATAAAGCCAATCATTAAAATATTCTTCTTATATACATTAGGAATTAGCTAATGCACTCAAACCATTACAATGACAAACTTCCATACTCAGACAACTGGATTTGGGATTTTCTTCCCCTCCTCCATTGCAGCCCTCCATGGTCTTAATTTTAATCTCAGACCAGTGAAATTACATTCTTTGGCTCTCTGTGCTGATTACCTATTGGAGAGTGGAAGGAGAAGCAAAGGGTGAATGTTCTTAGTCCACAAACAGGTGACCAATACTATCTACTCTGGCCAACCATTACAAATGTGTACATGGCAGTGGCTCAGCAAGGTTGCTGTAACTTTAGTCTCTTGCATGAGATAGCCCTTTCATGAATGGCATCTGGCTGTAGACCCAGAAGTTGTGAAGTTCAATTCCCACCTGTTCCTTTCAGGAGGAAAGTTAGCATGTGTAGCCTTGGGCAAGCTGCACCGTCCCAGAGTTCCCCCAGAAAAAGGGAATGGTAAACTACTTCTAAGTACTCTCTAGCTAGCAAACCCTGGAAGGTGTTGCCATATGCTGGACTTGATTTGATGGCACACATTTATTATTTGTTTAATTCTTCTGGCCGCAATCTTAATAACAGTTCGTAGGATTGATTCTTAACACAGTGGCACATATTTCCAGACATTCACGGGATCAGGCTGCCCATAAGGCAGGGTGTTATACAATTAAAATATGCTTCGATCTGCACCATATTTGATATGACACAGTACTGTTATTCTAGCAACTTAAAAGTAATTTAAGCTGCAGCCTTTGCACACTTAACTTGGAGTAACCAATACTGAACACAGTGGGCCTCACACTGAAGTGAAATTGAATTGGATTGTACTGAATGTTTTCTTGAAATATTCACATTTCCTAATCCATAATAATATAAGCAAAATTTTAAGCAACTGGAAATGTCCAAATTTTCTGGTTAGGTCGCTATGTTAACACAAATAATATTTTGTCAAAGCAGCTTCTGGAGTTTCATGTAGGACCAAAATCTTCAAAATGATGTTGTTTCCATTAAATTTATGAAGTGCCATAAAGCATAGATCAAGTGCAGTGCGGCATTAAACAGTTGTGTTATTTTCATTCAATACAAATAATTTTCTCTTAAGATTTCAATCTGCAAAACCATAATTGTGCAGCTTCTGCATTTATTAACAGAAGAATCATATCCATGCTTTATCGCCACAACAATTAAAATGAGTTTATAAAGGCTGCTTAGTATATGATTCCATTTTCTCTCTGTTTAAACTGTGCTTTCTAAATTGAACAGGGTTCTTGAGATTTCCCTGGTTAGATATGTATAACACATGGGAGATATTACAGGAACTTGATATGGCCATAAGCCTGAGCTAGGGGATTACGACTACACTGGCATTGTTAATATATATATCTTTCCATCTTCACCTTTTAAAACAAGCCCTGGACTTTTATTCAGCAACAGTTCCCCTGAAATTAACTTTTTTTCTTCTGGTCCAATGTTCCTCCTTTACATTTTAATGGCAATTATACAGAGTTCTACTGTATTATTTTTTTTATGCAAACATCCCAAGCATTACCCTCTTTCAGTATCAATCCATTCTGGAGAATTGGAACTTCACCAACTAAAGTGTGTAGCTGTAATAATCAAAATTCCTTAATATTTTCTACTCAAATCAGAATATAAAGCTGGGAACTTCTCCATCCAATTGCATTGCACCTGCACATTTCTAAATGAAATGCCTAAATATGAATGGGGTGGAGGGTAGGATTCTGATTTAGCTTTTCCATCATTATGTCTGAGTGTAAATGTGTGGGGGTATCTTATCGATGCTAGATGAAACTTACTGGAATAATATACAACTCCTTATGTTTCATGTTTTGGAAAGCCTGTTTTTCAATACAAGGCAAAAACAAGTGAATATCAAAATATATATATTACAATTTCCTATGGCAGTATAGACTTTATTACTCCAAACTTGCTCCTCATGTTGTAGGTGCTGCATTCACCCTCCACACTTGTGGAGAGCAGAAGGCAAGTTATATTCAGGAAACCATCTGACCTCTGATTAGCTTTCCTAGAAAGAGCTAGGCTGCCACTGAACACAAATCCCTGCCCCCAGTCAACACTTTTGGTGCCACTGCTGGCCACTAGTGTTTTTAAACTAATTTACAGAAGCAAAGCTTAAGATTCCATCAAGTGTATTAACAGTTAACAGATCACATGAAATTAATTTCTGCTTTTGAAAGAGACAAGAACAATATGCAGCATCAAACTACAATAACTGACCTTGCTGCGTGGACTTTATGTTGTCCTTGTCACTACAAGAGTTTGAAAAAAGATGTGAGCAGAGGAATAGCGTAAACTTTCTTTTAAAATTATGCTATGAAATGCCTCTTTTATCATTTAAGCTCTAGTGGTTAATGATTCTTGCAAATCAAATACTGCTTCATAATTGCAGCATCTTCTCTATGCCAGTAAAATGTTTCCACATATTTCTACTACAGGCATAACTGCAAAACTAGATTTTAAAAGCAAACCAATATGTTTTCTATTCCTTTGTTTTATCTCTTTTTCCTCTAACTGTTAACCAAAATGCAAAGTATTGTCTGACTCGCAACTTAACTCACTTAACATAATCTCTATTACAGGTTACTTAGTTATAGAAAATCCATCAAGTAAGTTGACTGCTAATTTTTACATTGTGGCTATACATTGCTAGTTCTGTAATGTGTGGCTCCTTTTTGTATATTTATTAGAAAAAGGTCCTAACTTTGTATAAATCATAAAAGCATGTCTAATTGCATGGTAACTGGAGAAATGCTTTCTCTCTCTCTGGGGTGAAGCTTGCATGTCTGTGTTTTAGCTTGGCAAGTAATACAGGGATATTTAACTCCTTGGGGTTTAAAAACCATGTCATTATGGGAATGAAGTCACTGCTATATTTTATATATCTAAAGCTCTGCATTGTACAGTATAAAATGGTTTCTGTGTGACAAAAGAAGCATTATGTGCTTGAACTGAACTGAAAGGTGACTTTGCAAACATATATACGTAAATATCAAAAGACTGAACTGTGGAGTAATGATCTTTGTAAAACATGGTATGTACACAACAGTCATGCTGTATCATCAAAATCAGAGGAGGTGTAAAGTGGGAAGAGGTTACTATTTCAGAACAATTCCATATGTATATAATTCTCTTTTGTAAACTGTTCATGCAACTATATTCATTATATCTCAGTAACATTGTAACATTGTTTTGGCTAGACATTTCTTCTTTTAAAGCCATTTTTCATTCTACCAATAACTCATTTTCCTTTATTTCTAGGCCGATAGGCAAAAAATGTTTTCTACAACACGTTGAAGAGCTTTGTGCAAACAACAACCTAAAATTTCAGGAAGAATTTTCGGTATGTTACAAGCAGTTGTCACAACATTACAAGACCTCCACTCGTTTCATGTGTCACATTTCATGTCCATTTTAAGCAGGAAGGCCATTAAAGACACCGACCTTTATCATAAATACCCAGTTACTATCCTGATTGTTTAGAAATTCGTGTTACATTCATTTGGCGATTACAGTATTCTAATGGAAGTACTGTATTATCAGAATTATTCAAATAGCCATCTTTTGCATGTTTCTTGAAGAATGACACCAGTATGGGTTATCTGTTTGACTTGCATGATAAACATTTAAAAATGTTGCTAGTACATGTGTAACTTAATTGTAAGTTTATAATCATCATTGGGAAAACATGGAATATTTGGAAGATAGACACAGAACTTTGACATGGAATAAGAAGCAGATAGGTGAAACCTGTCTCTCGTTAGCAGCCAAAATATGAGTAGACTGAACTTTTTCTACAAAGGATAATAATTCTTATTTGATTTATGGAGAGGGAGGGATTGCTCTTCCTTCCCCATGCTACATCACTTAGGTAGTAATTGCTACTTTGTTTAAAATGTAATTCACTTTATGTGGTTTTTAGGAAGAGTTTAGTGGCAGAGGCTGTACCTTTTTCTAAAATCATAATTTTCTATAGCATGGCTACTGACAATTCTTGGAAGATCCATTACTGTTTGTTCAAATCATCAAGTTTCAGCAAGCACATAACAATGTGGTCTTCTGTAAAGCAAGTTATTGTAGCTGAGTTTCAGGACAAGAAGGCCAAAGTCAAAGTATTAAAAAATTTGAAAAATGAATTCTGATACTGTTGACTATTGAATCAGATGTTTACAACATATTATACTAGCACTTATATCACATTGTGAATATATTAGCCAAACATTACTGTGTGCAGGCCTAAATCGAAATATGCTGCCACTTGTACTTATGAAGTCCTCCCATTTATTTTTAATAATTGCTCAGGAAGTAAATAGGTTGTGAATAGAGATGGGGACAAATAAAAAATGTGATTCATTTTGATCTGTTATTCGTTAAGGTTAACGGATCAACAAATACGAATATACGAATATTCTTCGATGAATCAATGAATCGCTCTGTCGATTCAACTGCTATTTAAATGGCTATAACACTGGCCCCCAACCACCTAGAGACACCAAATTTGCAGGGAAGCTTCCTCAGACACTTCTCTACAACTCCAGAAAGTTTGGTGAACATTGGACCCCTGAATTATATAGTCACAAAGAGGACTCCCCCCAGGAAAGCTCCCCCCCAGGTACTTAGAGACTCCAGAATGACAACAGAGCTTCCTATCTCTTTCCCCAACATGCCTGCCAACTTTGGTGAAGATTGGATATCAGACATCCAAGTTATTCCCCCACAAATTGGGTCCCCCCAGGAGAGTTTACCACATGGCACAGAAGCTCATTCTGCCTACCGGCTGCCAATCAAAAGCCGATAGGCAGCCACCCCCCCACACACACACAGCCAGCCACCCCAACAGCCTACACCACACCCCTTCCTTTCCCTACCTTAGCCCCCACCCCACTCCCACTGACACCCCCCTTGCCTTAATAGCTGCTGCTGAGGTCTCCATCAGGTCTTCACAGCCACTGCATGTAAAAAAGGAGATTGGCTGCCCTTTGCAAAGATGGCGGCTGTGACTTCATTTAGGGTAGGGAAGCTGCAGCTGCCTTCTTTCCAATGGGCAGCCTGGATTCCCTTAGGGCAGCCAATCTCCATTTTTACATGCGTGGCTACGAGGCCAGAAGATTAAGCAGCGATTAAGGTACGAGGGTGTTGGTGGAGTTGGGTAGAGGTCGTAGGTAGGCTGTGGTATTGGGTAGCTGTGTGGGATGGTGGCTGCCTTTCTGCCACTGATCACCAGATCAGTGGCTGGTAGGCAGAATGGTGTGTGTGTGTTTTTAATACGAAGGACGAATAAAAATGGGCAAATATTCATCCCTTTGTATTCATGGGGGTCTCTGGAACCCACAAATATGGATTGGCGAATATTTAATGAATCACCTATATTCATTGGAAAAAGCGATCCGTTTTGATATTTGTCCCCATCTCTAGTTGTGAATTGTGGTGTCTATGGTTGCAATCTTGACTGATCACTGTAAAGAGAATGTTTTTAACGTTGTTTCATTTCATATATTACCAGGAGTACAGTGGTGCCTCACACAATGAGTGCACCGTAGAGCGATGAATTCGCTCTACGAGGCCGGTTTTGTGATCGCAAATGCGATCGCACACCGATGCCTGCATAGGGTGAAAATCGCAGAGCGAAGGTCGGTAAGCAGTTCACTTACCGACCTTCGCTTTGCGACCCGCCGATCAGCTGTTCGGCGGCTACAAAATGGCTGCTGGAAGCCCCAAAATGGCCGCACGCAGCATTTTCGCACCCTCGTTAAGCAAGGGGAGGGGGCGAAAATGGCTGCTGGCCATTGCAAAACATTGCTGAACGGTGAGTAAATCAGCCGATTGGGCTTTTCTGCCCCGTTCAGCGATGTTTTCACACAGCGAGGGCTAATCTGGAACGGATTAACTTCGCTGTGCGAGGCACCACTGTATTTGGATGGTAGAGCACTGTTATGTCTCTGCCTTACTCTACAGATATTTTACATGCAGCACTCATGTGAATGAAGTGTTATGTGGGATCACATTTCACATGATTTCCTCACCACCTTGCATGGCAGGCAGGGGAGAGCAGAGAAATTAAGATGACAATCAGGCATTAAGTGTACACCCTGTTTTATATGTTATGTCATCTCCCTGCATGGTGCCTTTCCACTATTTAAATATAATATTATAAAGACCATAGCTAATGGCTTTATTGGCTGCTGGGAATCTTTCTTTCTTTCTTTCTTTCTTTCTTTCTTTCTTTCTTTCTTTCTTTCTTTCTTTCTTTCTTTCTTTCTTTCTGCTTGTTTTGCTAGAGGGTGGTTGTTACTGAAGGGGTTTGGTTGTTTTGTTTGTTTGGCTTTTTACTCCTTGGGCACCTGTAGTTCTACAGATTAGATCATTTTAAAAATGTATAATGGCAAGATATTATACATTTACTGCTGCTAAAGTAAATTGAAGGCAAATGGCAAATACCCAAGGTTAAGAACCAGTGTTATACATTTACTGCTGCTAGAGTAAATTGAAGGCAAATGGCAAATAGCCTTTGTAGTCACATCAAATTTAATTCAGCTCAATTTAACAAACACATAATGAATGCCCAGTCTCGTGTTGAACGATGTGGAGGGCTTGACCTCCCAAACACCTTTCATGTATAAAGCCCTGTGAGATAAATGGGAATTAGGCTAGAACACTGCACAGCATTGCTCTTCTTTAACTCCATTTCAGGAGGGTGTTCACAAGGGTCGGCAAGCAAGATAATCACAATGGGCAGTATCAGATCTACTACTGCTGCAAGCCTTTCTTCCAGAGTGTGCATCACATTTAATGATAGCTATGTCACACCAAAAGTCTGTTTAAGCCTTCGGTTCTTCATTGTTTTTGCAACTCACTTCTTTTATATGGGTATCAAGTTTTTAAAATGTCAAAGATAGATCCCTTTTTTTGCTATCCCAGAAGTGTTGTGTTCATCATTATATGAGATGATTTGGTATCCCCACAACATCTGTCATTCTCCAATTACTTTATTATTTTAGATGTATAGATTTACCATGAATTGCACAATGTCTGGACCTGTGAAGGATGAAGAAAAAAAATTGGCAGTTATACTGTTTGGTTATAATATTTCAGTTTAGATGGCAAGGAGCAATAGAGTTGGTGTCATCTGCATACTAGTGATACCAAACCCCATAACTCTGGACAACATGTCCCAGCAGTTTCATATAGATGTGCAAAGGATTTCCTACCTCAAGAAATAAAGTGATATAGCTTGAAAGTATCTTCACAATGTATGTTTCTTCCATATACTAACATGTAGCTTCCCATGTGTATGCATTTACAGCATGTATTGGTAAAATTTAAAAAGTCAATTAGCATATCATAGATTTATGTTATTCAGCAAAAGAAATGGCTTTCCTATTATAATAGCACCTTGCAAATTTTCAGAATTCTCCCCTGCATCTAGCATTAGCCCATATTCAAAATACTGATTTTAGACGTGCATTGACCTCTCCTAATATAAGGTGAATAGTGTGCAGTGGAAACAAATGAAGTTGTTAGTATTAATTGGAGTTGCAAAGCTTTGCTCATCAGACTTTAGACCTTATTAATAATTAGATTGTTCTTTTGCTTTATCTCTTCTATTTCTTGAGAAGTTTTTGAAGTTTGCCACTGGATGCATTGTACTTCGTACGTGACCTGACTATGCCACTTCCATTCCTTTGTATTTAAATTATGTTTCATACTTGGAACACAAAAGTGATTTGCTCATCCCTTTCCTTATCCCTATTCGTTATGGTCAACATATATCTTCTTGTCCTTCCTCTACCAAGGCAGAGGTCAGTGAAGAATAACAGATTGCCAGTCGTCTCTGCTTGATTAAATACTTGCTTGTTGTCCTACTGTAGCAATTGCTGTCCTGGTTTAAAGCTTTAGAGAGACTGCCTTACAGATAGGCCAGAATAAGGGACCAAGGAGGCCACATAAAGTGGTTCATGAAAAGGCCTTCTCCTGCTTGATTCGCTGCCTTAAAAGCTACTCAAAAGCACAGAAAGCAGTAGTGTGACTTTATAGAGATTTTAAGGTGAAAGTTCATATATGCTTAGGCAGTTCAGCCTGGTAGTCTGTTCTGTAGCTTAGCATTTGACCCTGCTGATGTAACAAGGTTTGACACAGAGGTGAAAGGCTTCTGCAGTGTTACCAGCTGCGTTTGGAGATGTAGCATGCTCTGACCCCACCCAAAATCTTTCTCTGTTCTGGATAGCATGGTTGAGTTCAGTTGTTCCATTTGATAGCACTCACCATCATACCTTTTCTTTCGCAAAGGCAAATAAATGTCAAAATGTATCAAAATATGAAAAACACATCTTACAGTAAATTTCAGTTTTATTGTACAAAATACAGTTTTCGATAGTGTATCATATTAGGTCAGTTAATATCCTTACTGGTTCCTTTATGTTCACTTATCTAAACTTTATACAATTATACCTGTGTAATAATCAGTAAAGACAACAACTGTTCTACTTCAGATACTTCACAGAAATGGAAATAAATGACGGGTCTTGTATTTTGTTCCTTTCATGCAGTACCTAAACACAGATACAGGTTAAAGTGTATGAACTGATTTGGGGCATAGAATTATAAGGACTTTGAAATTTATGAGGCTTGTAATTAGAAAGCATTATTGGCAAACACTGTTTTGGCCATGCCTCTCTCAGTGGATGAACTGGGTAAACTAGTAAAACTGGACTTCCTGTGTACAAGTTCACTTCTGATTAAATTATATAGTTACCCATTTACAATAAAACATCTTAAAAGACATCCTAATGTATGTGTTATTTTGCAGGAACTCCCCAAATTTCTTCCAGATCTTGCTTCAACAGATGCTGATCTTCCCTGGAACAGGTCCAAAAACCGGTTTCCAAACATCAAGCCATGTACGTCCATGTTACTAATTATTATTTTTCCCATCAACAGAAAAGTGTGCATGAAATGTGAGATACATGTGAAATTTATCATAGACTTTTACTTTTTTCCACTGTGGTGTTTAAAGAAAGGGTCCCAGTGCAAAGAAAAAGTCTGAGCATACCTTGTTATAATTTATATTATAAAATCTCTGCATAATTTTTGTTGTTTTATCAAAACCTATTCATGATTAGATTTTAGGTTGCTCATATAAGTATTAAGCAGGAGGTGCAGTGAATTATATAGCTTCAAATAATTTCTCAAATTTGTAACATCATTGATATCTTTATTCTTCTTGGAATTATTTCCCTGCTTAAAAATAAATTTCTGTTATCTAAGAATATAGAGTCCTCCTGTTTGTATATGTATTTGGAATATAGCAAATCTTTCATTAAAAATACTTGTCAATGTGCTGTGTAAAAGTCCCACTAAAGATCAGAGTGAATATATGGTAACTTTTAACTTCAGGAAAGATTTTTATCACAGGAGACAGGAGTCTGTGTCTCTGTAGTCAACACTGCTTCATTTTTCAGTTAATAAGATGAGAAATGCCATTATTATTTTAAGCATTAGCTGTGATGTGAGATGAGGGGCAAGGCATTCCTCGGTTAATGTAGCCACACTATGCTATTAACTTTTCAGAACAGCTGTTCATGTTATCTCCTATGGATTTGGAGCATGTTCTGTACTCCAAAAACTGGTATTTGTGGTCCGTTTGTGATCTAATATTGCCTGATTTAGTAGCAGAATCTCAATATGTCTAATTTTAGTTGGAATGTACCTGTTAAATTCAGACCTATATTCACTAGTGAGTGTTATGGGGGATCACGTTAGGAATCGTTATTATTAAATAAAGGCTGCACAAATGTTGATTCCCATCCTACTTATATCATCGCTTTATTGCTTATCACAGTTTGAAGTCAGAACATAAGAATTATCTGTCAATGGGTAGGTTGATAGAAGGTATTAAGCCTCCAAATGAAATGATAATAAACAAATATGGGTTGTTTACTCTAAGCTTTTTTGTCTTTTTATTAGCACATTAGAAGCTTTATATGAACCAGCAGGTCATATTACAAGATTAGTGATTTATAGATATGGCTTATAATACAATCAGTTTACCATATGTTGAAACTCCCAGTTTAATTGCATAAATATATAATAAAAGATTTGCTATTTGCAATTATTATTAATTATGCAGTTAATAATATAGCAGTTAATATATTGCTATATTATCACTAGATCTAATGTCCTTTTATGAAAATAAATGTAGCTGGCATCCAATGGAATAATTCTGCTGATGGAACTGCTTCCACCTATGGAACCAAAAAGGCAATACTCCAATCTCTTCTTCATTCCTCCATGCAGTTTTTAAAGCAGAGAAACCCTCCAGGAACAGTGTTCAGAAAGTAGGAGGGCTCTCTTTTTATCCATATCTGTCTAGCCTTTTTCAGTTATTCCTTGAGTGTGCATAGGGAAAGTGCACTCGTGCCCATACAAGGCAACAGTCTAAAATATAAAGTTTCTGCTCAGGTAGCATGCTTACCCTTCTATCGTCCTTATTGTACATACTTAAAGTGAATAATGCACTTGTCTGTATGACAGTCTATCATCTTCCTGCTCGTCTAATCTCTTTATCTCTCTATCTAGTCTGCCTAGTAGTTTGTAAAAATAATCATTTACTGCATCATTTTAATTTTTACTGCACAGATAACAACAACAGAGTGAAGCTAATGCCTGATGCTAGTATCCCTGGATCAGATTACATCAATGCCAGCTATGTGTCGGTAAATTTCAAATAATTTGTCAATTTTACTATATTCTTCCTTATTTTTAATTTGTTAGAAAAATAATTGAGAAAAAATATATAGTTTATGTGAAAAATTGTCTTTTTTGGTAAATTTTCTGCATCTGATGATTTATTGCTGCTCTTTTAATGGGCTATCATAAAATTATTACCATGCAATGATGTAGTAAGTATTACAGTAGTAAGATATTCTAATTTTATGTGGTGTTTGCTGCTATAAACTTTCGTAAACACTGTGCAACCCTTAAATCACCTTTCTAATAGTTTTTCTTCAGAAGATATCTGCCTTTGATCCTACTGCCTTAGTCTCTCCTCCACCAACCCCTAGCAAGGTTCTCTTGGCCCCCAAGGCCATTGCAAAACTAGTGGGAATCCCAAGGTGGTTTATTCTTAAACACAAAAGGCATAAGAAGGGTGCCCATGCAAAGCCTAAGGAAAAGTCTTTCGCAGTACAGATCCTGGCACCTGTACTTAATATGACATTTATTATTCCTTGTCTGTAGCTTGCTTATTTTAATGCTGTTTTTATCTTTATATTTTGTAAGTGGCCCAGAGTAGATTCCCGGATCTAGATGGGCGGGGTAAAAATGGAACAAGCAAACAAACAAACAGTCTGATCTCTCATTTTCAACACCAGTTAGACAAGTGGCTTCTCCTTATGCATCTACAATGCCAGTCCTGTTTTGATTTTGACTACCAAAAGGACTTTTGCTTCACTCACTCCTCCAGTTTTGATCCCAGTGCCTGTCTTTTTAGTACCAACGCTGTACTTCCTTTATGGCTCAGTCATTGACGCTCTCCTTGGATCACCATGATTTGGCTGATGGCATCCAGTGCCTTGGGTCCACAGGGAAGGGAGAGATCCTGGAATGGACTCTATCCAGGGAATCTTTTAGACAAATGCCAGATCCATTCCTTCAAACTGTCTTGGCTTCAGAATCGCCAACTTCAGCATTGAGATCAATACTCATCTGAGTCTGAGCGGTGTGAGAATAGATACGAGCATCACAAACACTACTATAGATGGTACAGCCTTTAGTCCCACTCTGTATCAAGATCTTATCAGGAATCTCTTTCTATCTTTCACACATTTGTTCTCTGTATCCTTTCGCATGTACTGAACAGAAATATATGCTGCAGCTCATGCTACTGTTACACCACACCTGGAATGCTTCATGCTGTATCTTTGAAAGTCAGTTTTGACTTATGATGATTTTAGTCCAGTTTCCAAGATATTTAAGCATTTGTTTTAGCCAATGTGGAATAAATAAATTTAAAGTCCTATGTGGAATAAACACATTTGCGGAATGCTTCCTACCACAATCTCAAAATGATTGTTACCAGTTCAATAGCATACTACTTCTACTAAGCTTCTTGTTGAACATCTCTAACACAGGAGAATTTGCCACCTAAATATGTATCTTCTACTGTCAGACAGTGCATATCTTCAGAAAGTTATTTGTAATATTGACTGGAAAGCCCCCTTCTTGTAAGGATTTGGGTCCCACAGCTCCAACCCCCTGGAGCAACAAAGAACAAATTTGCTCCATCATAACCAATTGTGTAATAAAAATGCTGTAATGCTTCTTTTCTAGAGATCCTTAGAAGTTATGCATTTCTTTAAAAATCTGTATTAAGGGGAAAGCCAACAGACTGGATAGAACACTTTATATTTCAGGTGAATACAGCTGCTTGTATTCTCTTGTAAGCTCATGCATGCTAATTTCATACTAATTTATCTGCAAGATTCATTTACCACAACCTTTGGAATCCATGTAATTCTTCCATGTTCAGTCTTGTGTGTCTGTATATGTGGTGAAGCCAAAACATAATTACAGCTTTGGTGCTCTTTTAAAAAAAGCCCAGGATAACAATTATGAGTAGACCTCTAGTTCATTAAAATGGAATCTCTGAAAGTGAGATTTTGTTTATCTTGATAAAAAATATTAATGGCTCAAGTTGTTCAGGAGCAGTAAATTCATCCACTGTGCATGTGCTCTACTTTCTGATTCAAACCATATAGTTTTAAAATCCTAGTCCTTAATCTATGCCCAGTCATAGTAAAAGAAATTATATTTAATGGGAGATCCTGTCTTCTTTAAACATGGGAACTGTTAAATCAATTCAACCATTGCCCATAACTGAAACATGCCAGAGTACTATGTTTTTGCCCAAATACTCAATTATCTTTGCTGTGAAGCTTGTCCCCAGAACAACTGTGACTGGGATCTGCATCAAAAGTGAAATTTAATCATACTTGCATGAGCAATTGTTGCTACGGTTTGACTTGATTACTGTAAGAACCATTCTCTTGTACCAAGTTCCTTTTCATCTCCATTCCTTCTTCCAAGCTAATTTTTGTTGTTTCTACATTCAGCTGTTATGCTACACTTGTTACCCAGAATGAATTCTTAAGAGGTGTGGGGGTGGGGGGTTGGTTGAACACTGTTCTATCCTCTCTACATGGTGCTTTACAATTATCGTTGCATTTCCCTTCACAAAATACCCATGAAGACCAATTGCTTCCATTGTGCAGAAACTGGTCCTGATGAAAGACTTGTCCAAGTCATAACAGAAGTAAGAGAAAAATCAGCCATAAGACAACTATTTTTGCTCACTAGATTAAAACTCTTATGCGGTGTACCTAAGCTATAATTTATTTTTAACATTTGAAAAATGTTAAGTGATATTAAAGAACTACATCTAAAATCTTTTACTGGACATTTTGATTAATCCTAAAATGCAACAGATTGAGTTCAAAGGCTATATCGTGTTTATGATTCTGTTTCCTATGCATCTATATTACTGTATCTTATAAATGCCCAGTGTCAGTTGATGTCCTTTCTGGGAATGTGGGTATTCATCCCTGAAAGAAGCAATTGTACTTGATCTCTGCAAGGATATCTTAATGTGTTCCTTCTGAAGATGCTTTTCATTTTTTAGTTTTTTAGTTTTTTGGAAAGAGATCATAACTCTATGTTTTGATGTTAGCACTATAATGAATTGTACATAGAAGATGAGAAATAGGGGCTAACAGCATAAGTTCTGCCCATCTGGTTTTCTTTTCACTGATGTTATTTCTAAATGAGATATTCCAGTACTTATTCTCACTGAAGAACGATTAGTCCTTTATGGAATTATACTCATGTCAAGTAAAAATCTAGATACTTACAGGTCAAGTAATTCACAGCTGTTTGTTAGTCATCTGATACTTAATATACAGAACAGGTGGCAGGGAACAGCTATGTTAATCCTATCTTTTGCAAGAATGAGGTGAGGGCCCTTAACCTAGGGACTTTGTTATGTGCATTCTATTCTGGAGGGCCACTGGATGCTGGAATTGGTAGACCTTTGATCAGATCCAACAATTTCTTTTCTTAGATTCTTGATTATTTGCTCAAATTTGTGAAAAATAAACATAGTAATGACAAAGCTAATCAACCTTCCTATGCAATAATGTACCTAACCATATATCTGCTGTTTATAGAACTCAGGAAAATGAGTAATCAATTATTTTGTGTGTGTACGCGTGTGTCCATGTGCATGTGCACACACACACACACACACACACACACACACACACACACACACACACACACACACACACCCTATATGCATATGTATCTACGTGTCTACATTTTGAGATTTTTTTTTTATTTGGTGGAAGACTGATACATCATCCTCTTTATTCCCAAAGTTCAGGGTGATTGTTAGCCTTCCAGAACAAAAATGAGATCATCCAGATGCCAGAGGAAGGCAACATCAGTCTTCAGGGGAATCCCAGGGTTTGCAAAAGTATGTTTTCAACATACCTTTGAAAACTGTTTGGTGAACACTATGCATTCCCAGTGGCCAGAGAATACTGAGTAAATATTTTGTTTGCCTACATTGTTAACATTTTGTTAGCTACTTATATATGACTAAACATCCTTACCTTATAAAATGCCCTCTTCAACGACACAAAGAATGACACTGTATGCTGGCTTGGAATACACAGTTTCCTTCTGAATATTCATAAAAATATAATGTTATCTGAATGAATGCATTTCTGAATCTATTAATGCAGTTTAAGCTGCATCTCTGTTATGATTAGAGCTGCATGAGGGATGAATTTAAGTGTTTCTTACTGGGTGCATCTCTTCTTTATTAGTATTTACTATATTAAACTTTAACTTTTCTTTAGGGCTACTTATGTCCAAATGAATTTATTGCTACTCAAGGACCATTACCAGGCACAGTTGGGGATTTCTGGAGAATGGTATGGGAAACAAGATCAAAAACCCTTGTTATGCTTACTCAGTGTTTTGAAAAAGCTCGGGTAAGTAATTAATACTGTATAAGAATTATAGATATATTTTATAACAAGCAACTGTACATCAAATAAGCTTCTGTACTATCATTTTATAGGCCATTTTGTAAGCCATATTAATATTATATTGCAGATAAGATGCCATCAGTATTGGCCTGAAGACAACATACCAGTGACTGTTTTTGGAGATATAGTGATTACTAAATTAGTGGAGGACATTCAAATAGACTGGACTGTAAGAGATTTAAAAATTGAAAGGGTAAGGCTGGGTCTGATTTTTTTTTAAGTGTCAGTACAAAAATCATGAAAATTGTCATCAATATATTGCTAAAACATCTAATTGTTATTCTGAAATCTATCTGGCTCTCCAGAATATTTATTATTCCATTATGTGTGTACTACAATGATTTTAAACAATTGCAACTGTGAAATATCCATCCAGTTTATAGTTTCTTAAAACATTATAAATATATTATAATATTTAAGAAACCTTAGTAATTTTTGAGACAAACCTTTGTACCATGTTGATTAACATTTTGTTAAAATGCTTCTGTTTGTAAGACCTCTATATTTATAAAGTTTTAAGAATCACTCTGTGACCGATGGCTGTACTTCTCTAGCTATGCACATCCCATCACCTACATATTAGTTTAGTCTTCAATTTAATATTTACAAATACCTCTATATTTCTAAAGTCATCTTCACATTATCTTTTGCAGAATTAAGGGAGGAAGTCCAGTTGGCCTATAGCCTTACTCCCACTGTAGCACTTGTACTACAGTGCACAAAGCTATTAGCATCATCAATGATTAAATTGGGATTAAAATCAATGAACCTAAAGCTAAATTCACACATATATGTTCATCACTCTCTTACTGCAAAATTGAGTGAGGATGTGTTTGTGTGAAACAGGCATCACACATAGTAAGCACAGAAACAGATCTTCATGATCATCACTCAAATGCAGTGCTTTCAGTGGAGAAGGCAGTCAACATTTTCACCTGAAAGTCTTTGAATGACAGTATTTTATTTGTTTATTTAAAATATTTTTGCCCCAACTTTCTCCTTTAAAAGGAGCCTAGGTAGCTTATATCATTACAAGACAATATTAAAGCTAACAACAGTAAGTATATCAATACAAAAAGGATCAAACAAATAACATACTAAGGACATAATCAACGCCAACACACAGTCAAAACAGTAATGTACAGTGATGTCGGTATGCCATTGAATGATGAAGTACTAAGTGACAGGTATGCAATTATGAATCAATCATTTGGCTTAGAAATATTTCATTATGGCCAATAAGCCAAGTCAGATGCCAAGAACGTATAAGATAACCAAAGAGTGAGAGATTTATTAACAATAATGAGTAATTTTTTTAAACATAGATTGCTTACTTTCCTGAATAGCTTCAGTGATTCAGTGTTGTCTTTGATTCTTGACTTTTATGTCATATGACATAAGAGGGATAGGAAGTTTAAAATTAATTTAAATTAAAGATTAATACCACCAAGTGATGACATCATCACTATTTATGCCTGGAAGACTTTGTCATCATAGGCATCCTTCAGTCTCGAAAGACTATGGTAACATGCTCTGTATGGAGGACTTGGAACAGCGTCTAGTGTGGCTGAGAAGGCCAATTCGAGAGTGATAATCCTTTCCACACTGAAGACAAGTCCAATCTGTCCCCTGTCCAGCTCCCTGATTTTGCTGCTTTTGGGACTGCCTCTTTGCCTCGGCCTGCTGGACAAGGGTCTCTTCAAATTGGGAGAGGCCATGATGCCCCACCTGTCTCCAGGCTGAACGCTCAGATGTCAGGGTTTCCCATCTGTTGCGATCCATTCCTAAGGCCTTCAGATCCTGCATGCAGATATCCTTGTATCGCAGCTGTGGTCTCCCTCTGGGGCGATTTCCCTGCACTAATTCTCCATACAGGAGATCTTTTGGAATCTGACCATCAGCTATTCTCACATGTCCAAGCCAACGTAGATGTCACTGTTTCAGTAATGTATATATGCTGAAAATTCCAGATCGTTCTAGGATTACTCTATTTGGAACCTAGCAGAGTTACGCAACAGGATTCCAGTCATTGTATTTGTCTAAGATAATCCAGTCTGTGGCAAACATCTTAGATTAAATTGCTCATTGCAGTACTGTCAACAGAACCCTATTGAAAAAATCCTTACAATATAAGTGTGACTTCTCAAATTTTAAGTAGGATTTTTTACAATTCTAAAACAAAGTCCTTGTTTTTTTCAACTTGTTTTTGAAAGCATGGGGATTGTATGATGGTACGTCAGTGTAACTTCACTGCCTGGCCTGAACATGGAGTACCTGAATCAAGTGCATCTTTAGTTCATTTTGTAAAGCTGATCCGTGCTAGCCGAGCTCATGATAGTACACCCATAGTTGTTCACTGCAGGTAAGCTAATTATTTATTTCAACACAAAACTTATATTGTGAATGGGGACATTAATTTATTGGAAACAAATATAGTTTATCCAACTCAATACAATCTCACCTTGCTTATTCTTCTTTGGAAAGGTGGTAATCATTGGGTGTGTTGTTGATAGGAGCAGAACAGCAAAAGAGAGAGTAAAGCACGGGGAACCACAAAAAGTTACTGAACTAATGCATGGAATGCAAAATCTGTACATGCTAAAGAAGAGTAGGGTGAAGCCTACTAAATATATCACAGATGACATCTTTATGGGAGACAGCCTTCAGCTAGAGAATAGCCTGGACTAGTAAATTAGGAATGATGAGGAGACAGCTGCATCTGTATAGCTACTGTCACAGTAAAAAGCTTTCATTAATATAAGCAAGTATCCTTACTGAGAACATTGGGAGGATATCTAGAGCAGCAACTTATTACTGTTTTTGTTGATTACTGTATTGTAGTACAAATTAGAGAGTTTGTGAGTATTTATGTGCTGAAAACATGCTAGGATTTACTGTTCCAAATCACCAATGTCAGTTTACTGTAAGACCTCCGTATTTGCAGAGTATTGGTTCCAAGGCCCCCCCATGGATACTGAAAACTGTGGATTATAGCTAACACAGTCTTTTGGACCCAGGACTCCTCTGTATCTGTAATTTTTCTCTTGATGGAGCCTCTATGAGTAAGAGCTGAGTTGAAATATCATCTAATTCCTCAAAATGTTCTCTCTCTCTCTCTTCCTCCCTCCCTCCCCCCTCTCTCACACACAATTTCAATGGCTCTGCTGTTTTTCTTCAAAGACAATTATGCACTTATTTCCTTCTTTGCCCAACAGTGTTGAGGAAGGGACTGGTTTCCTCAGGCACGAAGTGCAGGAGGTGGGAAACCTCTCCCAGGAGGCAGTTTGGCTTAGGTTAGCGTCCTTCCTCCAGCTTGTTAGCCAACTCAACTCTGAGTTCTACAACAACACTGCTCTGGAAGATAGAGGAAGCTGCCTCAGACTGATGGGAGCCTAGAAGAAATGGTTATGGCTTACCTATATCAGTGGTTCTTAACGTGGGCAATAATGCCCCCCAGGGGGCGATGTCATTTTTCAGGGGGGCAGTAGAATGAAAAGGGGCGGTGTGGGGGTGAAAGAACAGAAGGGGGCGGTAGGGGGGCGCTGGAGCGAGCCAAACCTGTGAAGGTGACTGCAGCTGCAGTGCTGGCAGTAGATCCGGTGCTGCTGCTGCTGCCAGATGATCCAGCTCTTTATACCTGCCACGTCCCGCCTTCCAGCTTAAGGGGAGCACTGAGTGTGGATCGGGTGGAAGGAAAGGGTCTCTTGGGTTCTCATCCTTGCCCCGTGAAGCACTGCCTCACACCTGGGTGGGGAAGGAGACTAGGTAGGTAGGTAGGTAGGTAGGTAGGTAAGATATCATCACCTCAGGGAGGGGGGCGATGATAACTTCCTCAATGGCTCGAGGGGGCGTTTCTTTCAAAAAGGTTAAGAACCACTGACCTATATAACATAGTGTCTGGTTCCCTCTAGTGACCACTTCTGATAATTACATCTTAAAAGCCTGTATTTCTAGGAATTTTTATTTAATATTTTTAATATTTTCAGACTGTGGACAATGGAATCTGTGGATATTGATCCTGTGGATACGAAGCTTCTACTGTCTTTAGAAATAATGATTTTTAAATTGTATTTTATCTAAACTTTAATCTGTTTTCTGTTACTACTCTGATTGTTCATTACATCTTTTAGATACCGTATTCAGATAAAAACATATCAGTGTCTACTTGCTTCATTATAGTGCTGGAGTTGGAAGAACAGGAGTTTATATTGCCCTTGATCATCTAACACAGCATATAAATGACCATGACTTTGTGGATATCTATGGACTTGTAGCTGAACTGAGAAGTGAAAGGATGTGTATGGTACAGAATCTGGTAAGATATTCAAAAACCTATACTGTGAAACAAAACCAGCTGAAATAGCAAACCTACATCTTGGGTGACACCTGTTTAGACTGCAGGAGGGACCTCATTTTGTGACTTGCTTTCTTAATTTTTTTAAAAAATCCCACACATAGAAGCCTAGCCTGTTAGAGAGAAGGCTAGATTAGGATAGTTTTATTCAGAATCTAGAACATCATTTTTGCGGATGCCAATGGGAACAGATATGTTACGCTGTTACTTAATCTTTTCTTCGAAAGTACACAACCCTTTCCCTTTGTTAATAAAAAAAATCAATATATTGTCTCCATATATCTCTAAACATATTCTTATTTGACATTCCTTTTCTTACTTTAATAAGAATGTTGTTTTTAGGGAGATATGTATAATATTAAAGTTACATTTAGGAATATGTCTTAAAATAGTACTTTTATCAATATCTGAAAGTGAACAATGAAACTGGACAATGAAAAATGGATCACAAATCTAGTAGCAGTGGCTAAATAAGTAACAATGAAGAACTGAAAAGTTTAGTGCGATCTCCAGTTATATGAATGGTATAAGGAAGTGTAGGATTTAGATATAAATGATAAATTGCAATTAGTAATAATGATGCCATTTATAAAAGATCATTGTAATCAAGTAGGAATTTCATTGTTGAGCAAATAAGACGTAGTGACTCCTCCTCCAAGGGCAGGTACTGATACAGAGTTCATCAGTGACCTCCTGAAGTCAAAGAGAACAGGAACACACTGTAAATGGCCTGAATCCAGTTGATATTCCCATCTACAGTAGGTCATTGGCCCAACAGAGTTCTCATAATTGTTGAACTCTCAATCAGTGAGTCCTGGACCCTTTGTGCATGGCAGGAGAGGAAGTTGAACACGTTCCATATGCATTGTCTCTGACATTTTTGGTATCACCTGGCAGGACAAAGTTCCAAATAGAGTAGTCCTAGAACAAGCTGGAATTTTTAGCATGTATACATTACTGAAACATCAGCGGCTCCATTGGCTTGGGCATGTCATGAGAACGGCTGATGGTCGGATTCCAAAAGTTCTCTTGTATGGAGAATTACTGCAGGGAATCCGCCGCAGAGGGAGACCACAGCTACGATACAAGGAGATCTGCAAGCAGGATCTGAAGGCCTTAGGAATGGACTTCAACAGATGGGAAACTTTGACATCTGAGAGTTCAGCCTGGAGGCAGGGGGTCCAGCATGGCCTTTCCCAATTTGAAGAGACACTTTTTTAGCCGGCCGAGGCAAAGAGGCAGTCCCGAAACCGGCAACAACAGGGAGCTGGACAGGGGACAGATTGGATTTGTCTTCAGTGTGGAAGGGATTGTCATTGGTGAATTGGCCTTCTCAGCCAGACTAGATGCTGTTCCAATTCAGAGCATGTTACCATAGTCTCTTGAGGCTGAAGGATGCCTATCAGGCAATCAATGAGAGGGTCTGCTCCAGTTGGTACTACCAAGTGAATTTAAACCAGAATATTCTTTTTATACAAGTTGTCTTATATAGTATTCAGATCATTTTTATAGCAAACTCTCCATTTATAAATAAACTAAGCTTAACTAAGGGACGTGGTGGTGCTGCGGGTTAAACCGCAGAAACCTCTGTGCTGCAAGATCAGAAGACCAGCATTCGTAAGATTGAATCCATGCGACAGAGTGAGCTTCCGTCGCTTGTCCCAGCTCCTGAAAACCTAGCAGTTTGAAAGCATGTAAAAATGCAAGTAGATACATAGGTATGTATCTTGTCATGCTGGCCACATGACCACAGAAACTGTCTTCGGACAAACGCTGGCTCTACGGCTTGGAAACAGGGATGAGCACCGCGCCCTAGAGTCGGGCACGACTGGACTAAATGTCAAGGGGAAGCTTTACCTTTACCTAAGCTTAACAAATACTTAAACTTCTATATGTTGCAGGCACAATATATTTTTCTACACCAGTGCGTTTTGGATTTACTGACAATAAAAAGAAGCAGCCAGCCTGTATGTTTTGTTAATTATTCAGTACTGCAAAAGATGGATTCTTTGGATGCAATGGAAGGTAGGTAGATATCAACCATGACAACATTATTTTATGTTTTATATGGTCAGGTCCATTTGCTTCAGCTTATTGAAACAACTTGCTTTGAGAAAAATGTGATTTTGAGAAAAATGTGATTTTGAGAAAAATGTGAGGGATTCAGCCTCCTACACAAAAAGGCAATTGATATTCTTTCTCTCCAAATTGGTAGTGGATTAACTCGTAACATTCTGCAGTTTTCATAACAATACATGTACTGATGGCTCTGTACTCTAGAACTATCACCACTACCAAATTCTGCATTTCTTGTTGCTTGTGTGGCATTTCCATACTGACTGTGAGAAGCATTTGTCTTCTCACAGTCAGTATGTCTGAATTCTCAATTACCATATCAACCCTTCCTATCCTCACATTCAGCAATGCCACCTACTGAAAACACATAAAACCATGGCTTTATCTTTGATTCTTCTTTACTTTCCATACTTAGTCTGTTGCTCTCTTCTTCCCCTGTTGCTCAAAAATCCTGGGTCATGGTCAGGTCATCTCTCACCTTGAGTATTGTAACTTCTTTCTCTTTGATTTTTCTTTACCTAGGCCATTTTGCTTTTTTTCAGCCCTTGGTTTCAAAAACCATTTGTCTGTCTCATGGGTCTGAACATGATAGATATTTTCTTAATGTCCTATACTGGATGCTGTCCTAATTCAGTTGGAAGCTCCTTCTTTTTATTTTTGAAGCTTCAATTTATTTTTCCAAACATTTTGATGTATTTTTCATGTATTTTTCTTACTTAGGAGTCTGACTATTTAGAAACAAGTAGTGGGGGTGGTGGGTGGGTGGAGCATTCAGCCATGCCACACTTCATCTGGGGAATTGTTTTCCACCCCCTTGTTGAGACCCATCAGTTGCTGGCAGGTCCTCCAACAGCAGAGATTTTCATGGAGCAGATCTGGAAGAGGTAATTTGTCTGAAGTGCACATGATGGCCTTATATCTGGATCCACCAGTGTCTAGGCTTAGTGCCAAGAGAGGTTTCATGAATTTACTCTCCCTAGTGTATTGGTTTTGTCCATTGCTCTAGATGTAGGTTAACTGCTTGTTAATAGGGATGAAGAAGAAATTTACCACTGGGTACAAGTTTCGGTTTCTCCTTGTGATTTTTATTAATTCTACTGCTTTGCTTTCTTGTGTTACATTTTGTTCATGTAGACTGTTGTAGACATCTGATTGGGTTAGGAGGATAGGTTTATACACTCCTTCCAACTGCAGTCTCCATGACAGATCTTGGGAGTGGAGATCTGTTTGGCTTGGGGTGAACATGCTGGCCCACTCCCAGATAGAAGGAGGGACTTACCGTATTTTTCGCACCATAAGACACACTTTTCCCCCACAAAACAGGGGAGTGGAAAGTCTGTGCGTCATATGGAGCGAAGAAAACAGATTATATTTTCCTGTTTTCTTCTCCTAAAAAATTGGTGCATCTTATGGAAATACGGTACATATAGATTTATACTCAAATGGGTACTCTTATCCTTGCCATTTAATCAAAGCACCATTTGAAAGGCAGGCTGTGTGATGGCTGGATTATCTACATTATGGTAGCAGAAGCAGTCATAGTTAAATAGTTTTTACTTGCATTCTTATTAATGTGTGCTACATCATTATATCTATCCTTTAAAAAAAAAAACCTAACTTCAGCTAATGTTTCTGTTTCTTTTGTAGGTGACGTAGAACTAGAGTGGGAAGAAACTACCATGTAAATATACAAATGAAACCTTATGTTTCAAGAAAAAGATTGTATTTTTTAAACAACAAAAGCCAAAACATATCCCCTTCTTACAATTAACTAAAAGAAAAGTAATAATTTTTGTATAACAGACAAAAAATTAGTTTATACTCTGTTTATGTGCCTTCAGAAATTCTATAAATTATTAAATGATCCTTTTGTACAGAGTACAATTCTAATACTACAATAAGAGTATTGTATCCAATGGGTGCAGTCCATGACAGATAAATGCCTAGGTTCTGCTGCTATCAGTAGAACTTACTAGGTATTTGATTCCACCAACTTCGCTGGGATGTGGGGCCGAACTAGATATTAGCCACACTGAATTATTGAAGTTTCATGACCCCTCCTGCACAATTCCTAGGAATCTCTACTATAATAAAAGCAATAGTAAGAAGCCGTCAACACTGCACATTTCTTTAGTACCTAAAGTGAGAGGGGTTCAAGAAAATACACAGTGTACTGACACCAAAACATAGCACCGGTATGAGCACTGCCTGGTGGAAAATTCAAGACAAATCAATCAAAGTGTTATTGCCCTCCCACACACACACATAATGTGTAAGCGCATGGGTTTGGTGCCACTGCTGATATCATTGCTGTAGTTTAGATGAATCTAAAACAGGATGAGACAGAGTCACTGAGGTTGTCTATCTATAGCTGCACGTCATGATAGCTGCATGCTATCTCTGTGTTCAGAGCAATATGTCGGTCACTGGAGTAAAAGAGTAGGCAATGGCTATTGCATTTTACATCTTTTTGTGGTCTTCCCAAAGATATCCTCACATTGAATGTTAGACTAGATTGCCCTTTAGTTTGATCCAACAGGTCTCAACTTATAATCAACATATAACATAATCTATTTGGGTGTTATAGTTTATTAGAAAGGAAGAAAAAGAGAAGACAATGATATAGATTAGGAGGAATAGCTCTATGCCTCATGTTAAGGCTTAAGACTGTGCATATTTCTTAGCTCAGTCCTGAAATAACCCTTACCACATTCCCTCGTACATTCTGTGTATGAGCATATGGTTTCCAGGTAAGAGTCCTATTCCAAAAATGTGAATGTATTCACAGAAACTGAATTCAATATGTTTGCTAGAAACTGTTCATGTATACTGGATATGTATTCAAATAAAGAAGATATATGTTTCTGTAAATGAGAATTGGATAAAGATATATATTTGAAGAGCATGCACAAATGATACGCTCTTGAAAGTAATACACAACTATTCAGATATGTATCTAATGATGCACAGTTTCTGAGATATGAACAGAAAAACTTCTTTTGCACATGAATACAGTATTTCTCCCTAGGTATATATCTTCCACTTGAAAATTGCTCTGAACACATTCTATTGAGTTCTGAGTAATTTGCTATATACTGTAATAGTACCTTCCAAATGAGCCAAATACGATATGGAGTGTTCATGTTGCTCAGGTGTATATAATTTAGAGTGCAAATTTTCTGTACTTTTGGTTGTTGATTACAATTGTCCCTAGACATGAGTGACATATTTTGCTACAGAAAATGCAGTTGATTGAAGTGGATGACTTCCAGGATTATCATAATATTTCCCTAAATGTATGCTGTTGTGGTTTGACTCTTTGCTTTATGAGAGTTGAAATATTATCTTATGAGCCAGAACAGCTGAAATCTCACCCTCTGACACTGCGGAGATCGTTTAGTTTTTATTCAGCACACAGTAGCTTTTCAAGGACATTTGGGGCTTTTAAAGCTCATGTATGATGGAGACCACAGATTGCTGGAATTTCTTGTTCTAGATTGCAATGCATCTGGTAACTATACATGTTTTGTGATTTAAAAGAACTGTCTCATATTCTTATTACTTTTCTAAAGCTGGTGAACATTTTACAAATAAAGTTTACATTGTATTGAATTACACAAATGTCAGTCCCATATTTTCTCCTTACATAGAGCTGTATAGATACAGTTTATAAAGCATGCACAACTCAAATTGCAAAGACAGAATAGAATCCTGAGGTAGTCCCTGTAAGCGCCTTAGCTCGCATTCACCAAGCTCTTTGACGCTACAAATTTATTCTAAAAATTATTTTTTAAAAATTATTCAAAACACCTGTGATGCTGCCATGTTCCAAACTGATACAATAGCATCAGCATTATCTTTATATTCTGTCACTTCCTTGAGCACCAGGTAAGCTACAGAAGTAGTCCTAGAAAATAGAAACACCTGTAGTCTAACACATCAGCCTGGAGAACAATACTTCCCCCCCACCCCTAGGAAAGAAACAAAGAGGAGGATCCCAAGAAAAGTGTCAACAATGCTCTTTGTGTTACATATCATCAGGTCAGAACTGATTTATTTCTAATTTGCACTTAGTTGCAGTTCACTGGGCCTTCAAGATAAGTGAGATATTTAAGGAGTGGTTTTACCAGTTCCACCTAATCTCCCACTGAGTTTTCATGGCCAAGTGGGGATTTGAACCCTCTTCTCCAGAGTCCTAGTCAGGAACTCTATCCACTAAACCACACTGGGAACTTCTACCCAGGAGCAATTTTCATCTGAACATAACCACTCCCTTCTTCCTTGCTGCAGGGCAAAACTGCTTTTGAAACCGAAAAGTCCTTTGTAGCATGACATAGGCATCAACAGTGTGACAAAAAGGAAATTAAAAACACACTAGATACTATATGCATAAGGTTTTAATAATAATGATAAGAATTTGGAGTCAAGAATTTGGAGTGCGGAGATGGATCTGAGACAAGTCAGTCTTCCAGGTCAACAGGAAAAAGAAAACAACTCACAGAGATGGTAAATACCGTCCCCAGTCATGTATTTACAAAAATATGGAGAGCGGAGACAGTCTTCCAGGTCAACAGGAAAAAGAAAAAGAAAACAACACACAGAGATGGTAGATACTGTCACCAGTCATGTATTTACAAAAATATGGACAGCAGAGTTATGTACAGCAGACAAAACAATGCAGCAACTCTCCATAAAAAGCTCCATTTACCACTCTAGCGTGCGGCTCTTATATAGTGTGAAACAACCAATCACTGGCACATTACTTGTTATCCTCTGCTAGACATGACCAGTACACAGTTTAAGGATTTCATCATCTACATGTGCTAACCTTGTGGCTGCACACCTGTTATAAAAATGGATGCCTAATAAAATACTCTGGTTCATGTACAGAGTAAATTCTGCTTTATGGACTTTATATGTGCCGTCAAGTCAATTCTGATTTATGGCAATCTTTTTCAGGGATTTTCTAGGTAGAAGTACCCAGAAATGGTTTACCATTCCCTTATTTGGGGGCTGGGGGAATCCATAGGCTGGCTTGTCTGAGAGACACTCTGAGGAATTGAACTCCCAAGAGTGCTCAATTAACTCACTGAGCTATCCAACCAGCTGTATAAGGCTTTAGGTGGAGCTAAAGAAACTCTTTGGATCATAGCTGAAAAACCTACTTGAATGTCACAAAGTTTAAAATGGCTCAAAACTAAAAAAAACCTAAACTGGATATCAGTCTGGGGATAAAAGAAGCATCAGGCAAGGATGTGTTCAGGACATTTCTTTCCTGGTAACCAATTTTATGTAAACTGATGTAGGATAAGAGGAAGAAATGATGCCCATAGCTGCTCAGATTCTTGGCAAGGCATTTTGCGTACTTCCTCTTTCATGCAGTTCATTTATTATTCATCTACTTTTAAGTATTTGACAAATTAATTAGGGAGAGTTTTACAAATGTGTTGCATGGCTGAATTTGCACTGAGTTGCAGTTCACAAAACTTTCACAATCAAATATCATTAGTCTTGTAAACTCAGGTTGCATCATGAGTATCATGACAAGAACTGTTTAGGCCTCAGGTAAGTTAAAGGTTTGCTTGCAGTGTAGTTTGTCACCTATGTTTTTTATGGAGAATAGATTAAAAAGATAGATATTTCTAAAGTTCTTGCTCTAAAGATACTATCATCTTCTTTTCAAATCTCCAATACCTACAGTATTTAAAATTCTATCAGACAAATTTTCTTTGTTTTAACTATAAAGTAAATGCTTATGCCTTGTCAAATTGCTGCCTTGTCATGGCGAAGGGGCTTGAGTAACTAAGAGAAGCTATGGGCTATGCTGTGCAGGGACACCCAAGACGGACAGGTCATAGTGGAGAGTTCCGACTAAAAGCAATCCACCTGGAGTAGGAACTGGCAAGCCACTCCAGTACCTTTGTCAAGAAAACCCCATGAACCAGAAACAAAAGGATTAAAGATATGACGCTGGAAGATGACCACCGATGCCAAAGAGGCCGAAATTGACCAATTCTATGAAGACTTACAACACCGTCTAGAACAGACACCAAAGAAAGATGTTCTTCTCATTCTAGGGGACTGGACTGCTAAAGCAGGGAATCAAGAGATAAAAGGAACAACAGGTATGTTTGGACTTGGAGTTCAAAACGAAGCAGAGCAAAGGCTAACAGAGTTTTGTCAAGAGAACAAGCTGGTCATCACAAACTCTCTTTTCCAACAACACAAGAGGCGACTCTACACATAGACATCACCAAATGGGCAATACTGAAATCAGAGTGATTATATTCTTTTCAGCCAAAGATGGAGAAGCTCTGTACAGTCAGCAAAAACAAGACCTGGATCTGATTGTGGCTCTGATGATCAGC